ACAAACTGGTTGAGTGTTTTCAAAAGAAAGCTTTTCAACATTGTCAAGGTATCTTTTAAGAACATTTCTAGAACATTTTTTAAAATTTATTTGTTTAGATCACTTATTATTTGGACTATCACTTAGCAAAGAGGGACAATGAGATATAATCACAACAGCCAAGGGATTAAAAATCACAGACTCTGAAGGCTGACCGCCCAATTTTCAAACCTTGTTTGGCCACTGACTGATTTGAGAAGTTATTTAAACGTTCAGTGCCTTCACCTTACCATCTTCAGAAAGGTATAATAATAGGACCTACCCTATAAAATGATTAACCTACCCAGTTAAGAGACTGTGCTATGAAAATGTTTGCACTTGGTCATGCATTATACAATGTAATTTTTTTCACACGGCTTGTCAATGGTGAGATTATTTTTCTGCAAACTTTACATTTTCTCAAAATACTTACTGTATGAAATTGTTTGTGGCATCTGGGTCATATGCCGTAACTTGCCCAATGATGCTGCCCTCCTTTACATCTTCATCGACCTCTATTAAGTAAGAAATTTTACTGAACACGGGAGGCTCATCTATATCTTCCACGGATATTTTGACCACAGCTGTGTCTTTGAAAGGTCCCAGGTGTAGGAATCGTGGATCTGGGTGTGTGTTACTTGCATCCACTCTTAAAGTGTACAGCATTTTGTTTTCAAAATCTAAATTCTGAAGTTAAATAAAATAAGAAAAATTAGTTTACCATAGCAGGCATAACAATGGAAGAAAAATTCAATATTTAATAACTAGCTCTCTTAATGGAACCAGGAATTCTGGTTAAATAACTTCCCCAATTATTGCTTCATAGATCTATCAAATAAGTCAGTAAGTATGGTTAAACTTTACACATATCTATAGCATATAACTAAATATTATCATATACACATTATTACTGATTTCCTCTTAGTAATACATTTCACATTTTGGTGGTCACAGGTTTGTTACCTCATGGATATATAGGTTATTTATTATTTTTATTACTGTTATTATTACTAAATTTATACAAAGTTAAAACTAGAGGGGAAGCCCTAGCTGGTTTGGCTCACTGGATAGAGTGTCGGCCTGGGGACTGAAGGGTCCCAGGTTCGATCCCAGTCAAGGGCATGTACCTTGGTTGCAGGCACATCCCCAGTAGGTGGTGTGCAGGAGGCAGCTGATCAATGCTTCTCTCTCATCGATGTTTCTACCTCTCTATCCCTCTCCCTTCCTCTCTGTAAAAATCAATAATATATATATATTTAAAAAAACTAGAGGGGAAAAATAGAGATTTTTCAAGCTATTCATATGTCACTTCCTTAGGTCCTACATTTCTAAAACTGGTATTATGAAAAGAAAAAATATCATTCATCTGAACATGGTGGAAAGCAAGAGGTAAATAAAAGCAAGTGATTGGGGCAATCGAAAATAATCAATATTATCAATATTTAGCTGGATTATCCCATGTAAACTTCATAATTTTCTCCCACGCTGCATTAAAAATCAAGAAATCCAACAAAAAACACATAGCATCTTCAGGCCTCATCACTTTGAATAGAACATCATATTTCGCAATTTAAATATGCTAAAAAGAGCATGAAATAAAGCGAGGGCTGCATGCCTACTTTGCATGCCATGGAGAACCATGAAATAGTGCTTCAGAGTTAGCTGACCCTGGTTTGATTGTTGCCTTTATAAGCACAAGCAGCCAAGTTTTTATATCAGTTTTTAAGTGTCAATGATGAAGGCGCTTAACTTACTTGACGTGTAATCACAAGCATCCCCGCTTACATGAAGGATAGACAGCATGTAAAGGATGGAAAAATAAATCCTAGGCCTTTTTCTTCCCTGAACTGAAAAGCAAAAATCAACCATACAGCGCTCAATGATAAAATGAAGACAGCGAGAAGAAACCTGTTTGACAGTTATAATCCCTTCCTGTGTATCCTTGTCAGTGATGACATCGAACATGTCAGCTCCGTCTCCTTCAGCAATGCTGTATTCCATCTCAGCATTTTCCCCCACATCGGGGTCATTGGCTTTTATCCTTCCAAGATGTGTTCCGAGAGGGACAGACTCGGGGGAATTAAATTGATACGTACCTGAAAATTAAATCAGAGCTCTTGACATTTCATCTCTCGATAATAAAAATCCTTTATTTCCTTTGCCTTTTTCACTTAAATAAATTAATTTTAAATTGGGAGAGTTTTTCATCATATTGAGTTGTAAGCTGTCAAAAATTATAGATTTATTAAGTTGGAAACATAATTTATAAAGGCAGAACACTCTCATTTTGTAATTGAGAAATATAAGTTCCAGAAAGATTAAGTGAATGTCCCAAGGTCATTCAGATAATTGATGGCAGGCCTAATATCAGAATCCAGAACTCTGACTTAGGGCAAGAACCAAATAAATCTTTTAAATAATTTAATAAACATAAAAAATGTGTAATGAAGATGTTGAAAGTGCTAGATAAGCAGTGCATATTTGGTTTCTTGCCCTCTTAAGCATTTCTTTTTATATTCTAAATCAGGGATAGAAAAAATTAACTTATACACAGCAATTTTTAACCTGTTGATGCCTTCAAGGGGGATCTGAATATTTCTGTTTCCTGCAGTTCTAGCCAACCATTATATTTTATGTGCTACCTCTGAAAGCATTTTAGTTTCTGATTATTCAAAATACAAATAGGAAAAATAAACTTATAAAAATTTGTCAATGAAAGTTAGAAATGTTTTTTAAACATTTAATATGTGCTGAACTCTATATAAGGCTAGAGGCCCTCTATGTTAATTTATTTCTAATATTTGTTTTCATAGGACCAAGGTGGGTATATTATCCTCAGGAATAGGGCTCAAGAAAATCATCCTGTAAACTTGAGGAAAACAGAATGCAGAACAAAAGCTCTCTGACTTCAAAGTCTGTTCTCTTTTAAGTTTGGTTAGTGGTTAAGAAGAGGGACATCTGCCCGGCCAGTGTGGCTCAGGAGATCACAGTTTGATTCCAGGTCAGGGCATATGCCTGGGCTGCAGGTTCCATCCCCAGTGTGGGGTGTGAAGCTAGGCATCCAATCAGTGATTCTCTCTCTCCCTCTCCTTTCCTATCTGAAATGAATACAAACAATACAAATACAAACTTCTAAATATAACTGCCTGGACTTAAATTGCCATCACTGGCCAAGTTAGTTAAATTCTCTAACCCTTGATTTCAATATCTATAAAATGATAATGATAGCAATAGACTCATAGGTTTGTTATGAGGATTGCGTGAAATTATGTCTTTAAAATGCTTAGCTCAGGGGCTAGTTCTTGAACATTTTTAACTATTATTATTATAATTCCAAAACTTTTGCTAAGTTTACAATAGATTATAGAATGATAGAATGGCAAGCCATTTGAGAATTCATTAAACCATACTCTTGACTTATATTGAAGGAAACTCAAAACAAAGTTTAGATTTATGTTAATTCAGCTTATTATGTTAATTCAGCAAACTTTTTTTTTTAACGTTCATTATATGTTTAAGTCCACCATCCAAAGCTGAATCATCAAATATTTTAAGTTTGGTTAGCCTGGAAAAATGCTTTACTATATTGGAATCAATGTCATAAATTTAAATTTGAGATCCTTAACTGAACATTGTAAGATAGGGGCCTTTATATGTTTATTTCCTGCAGAATGAAAAGATGTTTAGCAAAGCCTTGGAATCTGCTTTTGTAGGACCTCATAGCATACAAGATGGTGATGACTGAAAGAGCACTGGCTGATTTAACCTTCACCAGTGGTAGCAGACACCTGCAAACCTTAACATGCCTCACAATGCCATCGCAACCAAGGGAGACTATAACTGTAGGGGCCACTGAAAAGGGGGAAAAATGCTGTAATTGAATCAACATGCAGTGATTTTAAAATAGTGCTTCATTTCAAGGACTGTTAAAGCACCCAGTCTGTGTTTTAGAATCAATTGAACAAGGGATTATAATTCTTATGTACAGACAAGAGGATGGAGGAAAGACCCATGATAGACATGGGATTTGAAGCCAGGCAGTCAGATTTGCGAGTCCACACTCCTAACCAGGAAAGAAATAAGAAACAAAGCAAGTTGGTCTTAGTGAAGGTTGAGAATGATGGTCTGGAAAACTTTACAGCTCTTCTAAAGGTAGAAGAGGATCATTAAAGTTGCCAAAAGGACATTATTTCCGTGTGTGTGTGTTTCTTACTACCTACTCACTGATGGAAATGATCACAATGACTTTCACTTTTGTGGGGAATTGTGATATATTTCGGGGACACGTGTTATGCCTTTATGTGTAAACTAGCTGTGAAACCACTATTGCCACTAATAGCCTCTCTTTGTAGTGTGTTGGAGAAGCCTTCCAACATGAGACCTTTCTTACTCTGGGGAAATCGAGGTGGGTTGTTGTTGACATCCGTCAGAGTGATGTGCACTGTGGCGGTTCCGGAGAGGCCGCCCATCTGGCCGCCCATGTCTTTGGCTTGTATAACCACTTGGTACTTCTCTCTGTTTTCTCTGCTCATGTCTGGTAATGCAGTTTTTATTATACCTTTTGGAAAAGTAAAGACATATTTTACCATTTAATCACTGATTTTTAAAATAGAGCTATTCGAGGTCCATTTTACAGAAGTGAATCATAACAAACAGAAAATTTTAGTGTACCTAAACACATATTTCAATCTATAGCCACTTTAACATTATTGACAGAACAGAAAGAATTCTTCTATTGGCTACTGCTTAGGAAATGAGTTTTTCTAAATCAATTCATTCTTTTGGTGAACAGAAAAAATTTTACTCCAAAAACCATCAGACAAATAAGTTCAATGTTGGTGGTTGTCACATTCTTTCAGTTTGAGTAGAACACAGGAAGTGCTGACATTTTGTATTTAGAGCCATAAATTTAAACTCAACAAATAGTCCAGAGTTGATTCACATAATCTATTTAAATTACAGGACGTTTGATTTTATTCCCATGTATAAATGTAAGGAATACATAGAAACAGATACTAAATAGATAGCTTTCAAAAAACCAAAAAAATATATATATACAAATTAACTGTGCATCCAGATGCATTATGTAATGAGAAAGGGACCACGTATTAAATGTCGTTACCTGATTCTGGGTCCACTGAGAAATATGGCTGTCCTTGCAATATGCTGTAGACCACTTTGGCACTATTTCCGTAGTTGGCATCATCCGCATCGGTTGCAGTCACTTGTATTACAGATGTTCCTACACAAATGCCCACCCAAACACAGACACTTAAATACATCTCAATTAGAAGCTATCCTTCTGAAAAATGACTGCTGATAATGTAGCGCGTTAGACCATGGTTAGTTGTAAGACATTTCCTTAAATGATACTACCTCCAAAAAAATCTTTACTTTTCTCTTTCATTCCTTTTTATTTTTGTAACTTTAAAAATATCTTTATTGTTGAAGACGCTAATGTGTATCAGCTTCCAAGAGTTAATTGGAAATATTAGATTTTCACTAAAAAGGGGGATGTACACATGACTCAGAATTAAAAAGAACTATGACATGATTTTGAGAAAAACATGGGCAGAGGGCAAAAGCAAAGGATAAGAGTCAGTGAGAGAGAAAAAGAGACAAATATATTAAGACAAAAATAAACAGCGAGAGAACAGTATAGAGCATCAGAGGAAAATAATGAAAAGAAGGTAAATTCTAAAAAAAAACCCATTTTTATTAGATGTTATTTATCCCCAAAGTTAATAGGAGTAGTCTTTTAACTCTTTAATTTAAATAAAATCACTAATATAATAAAATTAATATTAGAATTAAATCATTGTGTACTACTTCAATTATAGAGCAGCTTTATTATTTGATTATGCATGGGATTAACTGCCAGTACATGAGCTACACACAGTCTGACAGACTTTGTAGGTATCACCCTTTAGTTTCCCTCTATAAATGGTTATTTGTACAGGAAAAAGCAGAGAAAAATCACATCTTCAAAATTATCGTGAATTTATATTTATTTTTTTAATCAGCAAAATTTCTAGAAAATTTTATTGTAAAATACAATCTCCTCCTTCCATTACTCTTATTTGTATCTAAATTTATCGATGGGGGGGCATTTGAATTAAATAATAAGATAAGAAAAGTGATGCTTTTGAGTAGTTACCAAGAATATCATAAAATTAGAAGTTTTTCAAACTAGGTTTTGTATAAGCATAACTATTTTACAGTAGAGAAAAGTAGTAAAGCACTATGTCTATCCAGCTATTACTGTATTTATCAACCTTAACAAAAAACAAAACAAAATATTACAGTAAAAATCCATCTCTGTGTATTTTGGAGCAAGTCAGTTTAACTCTTTGGGGCTCATCCTTATGAATTAAAATAAATGATTATACCGAGTATTTTATTTTCTGCATGTGAGTATTGTATATATTTAAAGTTAGATACACATGCAAAGTCTATGGGTGGGCCAAGAAGGAAGTAATTAATGCAGTGATGTCAATATTAGCAATAAAGGATAATTACTATCCTCCATAAATGGGACCAAGACTTACCTGTAGTTCTTATCTGTATTTATTAGTACCAAAGCTGCAACAAGAGCCATACTGTTGCCTGCTCTGTTTTTCAGGTTGTATTTTGTTTTGTTGGTTTTTTTTTTGTAAATTTAGAGATGGAGGAAATGCAACTGGCAGTGGTCCAAATTCTGATATTTTCTGCTTAATTTTTAAAAAATCTTCATTGTTGAAAATATTATATATGTCCTTTCCCCTCCCCCATTGACCTCTTCCAGCCCCCTACAACCCCTCCCCAGGCCCTCACCACCCTATTGGTCTGTGTCCATGGGTTATGCATATATGCATATAAGTTCTTTGGTTGATCTCTTCCCATTTGCCCTCCCACTTTCCCCGCATTCCCTCTGATTTTTAATATCTGCAATAATAAAAAAATGTACTGCCTTTAATCGGTCTAAAGTAAATGAAATATAGATTGCCTCACAGGAAGATATTTTTAAATAAGAAAAGCTGTAAGCCTTCTTCCATTCATAAACTTATATATTCTATATTTTATTATGGCTATTGAACAAGAGAAGGACTTTTAAAAAAGAAAAAAAAAAACCTGTACAGACATGCTTACTCCAGTCCTGTAATAAATTCTCATAGGATCTAGACTGTATTTGTATTTCATATGAGAAAGAAAATATTTGAATTAGGTATGCAGCGGTTGGCAAAAGTAGGCTTACAGTTGTGAGTACTTGAAACAGTATATTATTGTATTTTTATCTATTAATTATTCTATTATCTATTTGTATCATAACTATAAACCTACTTTTGACTACTCATGTACAGATAATAATATTCCATTGAATATGCAAAACAATATAAGAGAAAGCACGAACTATTCAGTTTAACTATCAGGTTAGCCAAAGGACATATAAACCTTGCCCAGAGACACAGACAACAGTTTGGTGGAGGCCAGGGACAGGGGTGATGGTTGGGTGAAGGTGTTATAGTGTCAATTTAAAAAAACAGTCTCTAATAAATATTGTGTTTTTTTAAATGAAATAATCTTTTGAAAATCTGAAGTTATACAAATTTAAATCAATTATTATCAAAATGTACCATATTCAAATATTTCTGTCATCTCAATTATACTTTTTACTCCTATGGGTATATCATGTTTTTGGAGAAGGAACAATGGAAGTTTGTGTACTATTAAGTGTCAAAATATCTGCCAAAGAACATATATACAAGAAAACAATTATGTTTTAGAAAAATTAAAAGGTGTCGCCTGGCTAGCATGGCTCAGTGGTTGAGCATTGACCTATGAACCAGGAGGTCACAGTCTAGTCAGGGCAAAGGCCTGGGTAGCAGGCTCGATCCCCCGTCGGGGGCATGCAGGAAGCAGCCAATCAATGATTCTTTCTCATCATTGATGTTTCTATCTCTCTCTCCCTCTCCCTTCCTCTCTGAAATCAATAAAAAATATATAGTTTTTTAAAAATTAAAGGGTGTTAACTGGAAAATCAAACTGCTTTAGAATGCTCATGAATAGAAATTTGAGATAGAGAGTATAAATTTTAGATGTATCCTTTTTTTCCATTAAAAAAAATCTTTATTGTTGAGAGTATTACATGTCCCATTTTTTACCCCATTGACCTCTTCTAGTCTGCCCCCACCCCTCCACCCCAGGCCTTCACTTCCCTATTGGAGGTGGGTGGGTGGGAGAAGATCAAACAAAGAACTTGTATGCATACAATTTTTAGATAAATCTTCATCTCAAATGTAGGCCCACACAGAGATCATGAAGTATGTAGGTTTGCACTGGCCCACTGGTTGACCCCTGTGGACCAGCCCAGGACTTTTCATGGAACTGTACTAGGATAATAGATGTTTAAAAGTATTAAAGAGAACACAACTGCTACATTTCATCCTAGGCTTTATGATTGCATAGGAGTCCTGTCTAATTTGATAAGTCTCTTTCATTTTACTGAAATGAATGCCTGAAAAGGCAGTAGAACTGCAGTTTTCTCACACAGATGAGATTTCCTTTGATGTTAGAGGAAATTATAACTTTTATACAAACTCTTAGTTCTTCTGACTACATGGCACAAAACATTTAACATCAATCACTCAGTAAAGGTGGATATAAATTTATTTTTCCCCATAAAGAATTTATTTCAGACTGAAACATGTATTAATTATAATAATGTCAAACTTATAGACTTAATGCTGATTTTAAAATAGTATTCAACTAAATAGCATCAATTTTTGAAAATCAGTTGCATAGTTCGGATATTATGGAAGCTTACTTTGCTGAGTTTTATAGGTTTTTTTTTTTTTTTAGAAATAAATGATTTAAGAGTCAGCTCTTATCTCACTAAGAAATCTAAACCTTTCACAAAAGTAGAGCTAAATGTAGTCAGACATGCAGATAAAAATTATTTCCTAATTGATGGTATTTAAAACTATGGGCGGCCTTAAAAATGAAGCAGGTATTTCCAGTTTGCACAATAGTAACTAAATAACATAAAAAGACTTGAAATGTTGTTGTTATGCTACCAGGTTATTTGATCTTAATTCAGTTGCTTAATCTTTCTGAATCCTGGGTTCCTAATTAACAGAATGGGGGTTTGAAGTTCTATTTCCCATGCCTACAACATTAAGTTGTTTCAGTGATCAAATGAGATGATCAAAAGAAATTTGTCAAATGCAAGAACATTAGTTATTATGCAAAATAATTTGAACAAAACTGCCCAAACTGCTAATACTATTTGTATTCCTTTCATCTCACACAAAAATACTCAACTTGACGGCCATTTGAATGGCAGTTAAGTAGAAGTGAAAATGTTAGTTGAAATGCAATAAAATAATTATTCTCAATAGTGATCATTTTAGATATCAGTTACAACATAGCAGGAAACATTAAGATATAAACTGTTGAAAATATTTAGAAGTGAGATAGCTAACATTAAGTAGTAATTTTCAGTTATAATTCTTATCTTTTTTAAAATACACTTTTATTGATTTCAGAGAAAAGGGAGAGGGAGAGAGAGTTATAAACATCAATGATGCTGCTTCCTGCACACCCCCTGCTGGGGATCAAGCCCAAAGCCAGATCATGTGTCCTTGTCCAGAATTGAACCCTGGAGAATCCAGGACCCTTATTCCACAGGCCGATGCTCTATCCAATGAGCCAAACCAGCTAGGGCTATAGTTCTTATCTTGAAAGAGGCCAGGTATCATGACAGAATGTTCATAATAATTATCTTATCAAACAAACAAAAAAGTTAGTTTACATGGATTAGCATATACCTACCTACTCCAGACATTTCAGGAACACTTGCAGTGTATAAGTCTTTTGTGAATTTTGGTTCATTGTCATTTATATCATGGATTTTAATGATAAATTCAGATTCAGGTTCCACCTGCCGTCCAGTCTTTCTGTCTATAGCCTTGGCACGAAGAATGTACAGGGATTTTTCTTCTCTGTCTAATTTCTTTGCAGCATGAATATCTCCTGTATTTTCATCTATAACGAATATACTGCCAGCCCCATCTCCTGTTAATATGTATTTTAAATTTCCATCTCCTTTATCTTGGTCAGTGTGAAGCTTCAGAGAAGTAGAAAAAAAAAAGAGTTCTATAAATATATGCATTGTTATTACAGAAAAATAATGTTGGCACAAATCAATTTATCTCCACCTAACAGCACTGGAACAATGATTGCAATGGTTATCTTAATTTTCACTGTGGGAAAACTAAGCATTTTAGTTTTATCATTCTCAAAAATTTTAAACAATTGTATTTCTACATCATAATGGAACAAATTTAAAATATAACAAAAATGAATATATCTTTTTTCAAAACAGTGTTTCTAAAATATTTTAATAGAATGTTACCACTACTTAAACCTCTAGTACATTTACAAAAATAAGGTTATTAACTTAGATCTTGAGTATAAAATATTAATATATACTTGATTACATTTAAAATTACTAAACTCAAAAGAAGGGAAATAAGGAATTTCTCAACTTATTATGGAGATAAGTTTAGGAAAAAATATTGGATTTTGAAGTTATTTTACTTCCTTTCAGTATAACATTGTAGATGCACAGGTTTTGTCATCAGACCAATCAGAGACAGAATTTTAATCTCATATATTATTCTCTATGGGATTTTGGGAGGGTACTCTTTCAAACACAGTGTTCTCATTTACTTTTTTAAATTGACATTTTGTGTATATGAAATTTCAAGTGATATAAAACATGCATGACTTTTCTACTGGCCATTAATAATTTAATGAAATTATGAAGATTTTTTTCATAAATTGTATTTCTTCTTCTGATCCATATCCATCCTAGAAATAAACTTCTTAGTGTATAAGGCTGTTCATTGGGTGTTTAAAACAGATAAAACATGTTTGCATTGGGAAATAATCTTAACGTGTTTGCAAACCTAACAATATTCTGAAACTTGTGTCTTAACTAGCTGATGTCTGCTAAATATTGTCTTTGAACCTGATGAGGTGCTTGGTAAAGGCAAATATTTGGTAGTGGAAGAAAGTAGTTAAAAATTCCAGCTATGATCTCATGACTAGTTACAGGAAATGAGAACTGTAAATTGTCATAAATATGTCCTCTTTATCTGTCAGGAATATATTTGTATGTCTGCATAAGTTAAGCAATTATTTTTTTCCTCTCCTATTCTTTTATCATGCAACGTAAGATGAATTGACTTTATATTACAGTATTTAAGAATTGTTCATATTACATAATTATATTGAAGTTACAGGATATCAAGGGGAAGTGTACACATGACTTTACCTCTTTTGGGGGAGGGATCAGTGTGATTTCAGTATGCAGGATAGTTGTATCATGTTATGTGAACTTACACATCTTGTTATTGTCTTTATTTGGAGATCGGGGAGCATGTATGCTATGAAATTGTCAAGGAGCAGACTTGTGATGGTTAATTTTGTGACTATTTGCATCATGCGATCCTCATATATGCAGTTAAACATTATTCTGGATGGGTCTGTGAGGGTGAGATCAATATTTGCATTGGTGAGTGGTGAGCCACATAAAGCAGATTGTTCTCCCCGGTGTGGGCACGTATCATCCAATCCATTGGAGGCCTGAGTACAATCAAAGGCTGAGTTAAGAGAGACATTCTCTCTGTCTGGGTGTGCTTGTTCTGTGACATACATCTTCTCCTGCCCTTAGACTCAACCTCAGACTGGAACTTGAACCTTCAGCTCTCCTGCTTCTCAAGCCTTCAGACTCAGAATGGAACTATATTTTGGCTCTTCTATGTCTCCAGTCCACCAACTGCAGGTTTGGGGACTTCCTGTATTCCATAACCACATAAACCAATTTCTTACAAGAAATATATATATATATA